GGCCAGAACGTGTTATTATCAATCCACTGTGAGGTCACAATTCATTGCTTTTGTGTTGCGCATGATGAAAAAAACAGTTTGATTTACAAATGTCTGATGCCAACAGTCTGCATTCTCCCAACCGGTTTGACAAAAAGTCTAAAACAGAGAGATCCACTGCATCATGTTTTTCCCTATGGTCAGGCCATGCACTGTGCTACTACAGCCGAACGAAGATGAAATAAAGTGTAGAACACTGTCTAACATACCAAGGAGTAGACGGAGTCAATTAGATACAGGATTCAAACTGTAAAGGTCGTCTCTACGCACTGAAGACGCAGAACTTTATTACTTCAATAAGTTTACGTCTTCCTTACTGATGCTAATATGTGCGCAGAAGCTTAAATGTCAGTCTAAATCAAGTATGAGAGCCACATACATCCATCTGCATTAAGGAACGCAGAGTGTTAAATATTAAATATGCTTCTTAACTGTGCGGAACTGTGATCACAGTAATTTTCATTTATTTTAGGTTTCAGAAAAGAAAGCTCCAACAACGTAGGAGCAATCACTCATTAACTTTTCCACATATCAGCAATAGCTGCTAATAAATGTCAAGCTGTTTATTAGAACAAATAACATAGGATCGATATCAATATAAAACTAGATTTTAATATGTTATTTACTGTGTTCTATAGTGCTACATTGCATCTCTCAACCTCATCGATTTAACAGGATTCATAAGATATTGTTTTCATGGTTTCCTTCATCAATTTTGTCTCACTACAATACCCAGCATGCATTATGCAAATACATGCTACCATTAGGAATCCCTGTGGTGTCAACCAATCCTGAATGCTAGTCACTGATCTACAGGCTAATAAATACAACCAAGCTAGTATTAGTGTAGGTTTTACTTCATTCATCAAACGAAATCATAAAGAAAAGAGCGATTCTATCCCTATTCAGAAGAAAAAGGACACCAGAGAGATGTTTCACCCTTTCAGCCAGAGAAAAGAAGTCACACTGACTTAGTATATTTAGTCAGGTAGCTACTTTAGCTTCCTAACTTTAGCTTTTAGCTTGGTGTCGTCCAGACAAGTCATTTCTGTCATTTGAGTTATTAATTCTCAACACAGTAATGATGATGTAAAGGCAGTTACTACAATTATACAGCAGCAATAAGATAAGCTTCTTAGCAGTAATGCTACCTATCTGAAATCTTTCTTCATTCATCAGCTGGAAAAAAAATCAAAAGAAGCTCATCCCCAAAAATCCGCCAGAAGCAGTTTGTAGTTTTTCAAAAGTTCCTCCCACCTTCAAGATACATCATCAGAAGAGGGAGGGGGGTTACTAGTCTTTAAACTAGAAAAATCTCACTCTAGAGACTACTGCAGAACTAGGATGTGAGTAAGCTTGCTTACAACAGATGCAGTGGTGTAATGGTTATTTTTTATTGTGGCTGGAACGTCCTAAAAATTATATCAGTCGATAAATTTAATCTGGCCAGAAATTAAATGGTCTTCAAAATTTTTAGCTACACAGACTGATATGACTGTCAAATCTCAACAGTCAAATGTCTTAAACCCAAAGTGCAGAAACTAAAGCTTAGAGATTAATTGTTTTATATCTAAATTGTGATTTAAAAGAGAGCATTTTTTTCAAATCGCAGGAGCTGAAACTTGAATTAGATTGCAAACAGATACAAGTTTCAGTTTCAGCACTTACGTTTTTGACAATTGCAAAGTTAACATTTAAGATTTAAAACTTTATATTGACCCCTTAAGCATTTAACTTAACATCAATACTTTTGTAATGCAATTTATGAATGCAATTTAAATCGCAGTCACAACATTGATCAGAAAAAATACAATTAGATATTCTCCCCAAATTGTTCAGCTTTAAATTATATAAATATTATAGGGGGGCAAAGTTTATCAGGAGTCTTAGCAGTTTCATGGCTGTCTGTAAATCAGCTTTTATTTTTCTGTGGTGTGTTATGGCATTTCCATGCTAAAGTTTGGGTTTGGATCCATTTGGCATGTTTTTTTTTTATTTCTACTATGATTGTGTTTATCTGAATGGAGGAAGTGACTGTCAGTTAAGCAGTCTATAAAATGTGAATGGCTCTTATTACATTAAAGGCATGTATCATCCGATATAATTGGCCAACCAACATATCGGTCGGCTCCTAATACAAAGCCATCTGAACCATAGAGCTGGTGTTGCTTTCAAATGCCTCTTCACTGGGAGGTTTAGGCAGACGTGCACAGGCACATTAATCAAATCCGGAGAGAAGCCACAGCACCAGTTTTATACAGAGGCTGCAGCATCAGCTGTCTGTGTTTTTAATGCTCTTCCCCTTATTAAAGCTGCACACTCAGCCGTCAACACTCTGAAAGCGCCTAATATATATCGCTGGGAGAGCCGTACCTGGCGAGGCAGTGCAGGGAGCCCTTTGTGTCTTAATAAAACTAACGGCCAGTGTTGTGATGGATGTGAGGAGTCAGCCGCACGCACACGTAAGCTCTTTTAGAAGGGGAGGTGGTAATGGGTAGTATTTAATAACTGCGCATAAAAGTCATCATTTGGTAAAATACAGGTTGCTCGTAATCAGGCAGAAATGAAAAACTGACAATGTATCAGCACAATAGCTTATTGTAGTCACCTCATATTTAATGGTTCATTAGCCGTATCAGCACTGGAGCCTTTATCTTTGTCTCCATCGCAATATGAACTTCGCACACCGTGCTCCGAAAACAAACCTTGCAGATTCATTTGTGCACCTCAAACAACCCACAGCAGTAATTTAACTCTTTCTCCTTTTTTGATATCCGTCCTATTTTTCTCAATTTTAATGCAATTTAACACTTGAGAACACACTGTTAGTTTTACCCCAGTTCAGTCAAGATTAATATTTATCTTCATGCTGATATGGCACCGACGGTATGCTTAGTATTCGGGCTGGGATTAGCAGTGGGCAGAATTGTCGAAAATGTATTTCGTAGTATAATTAAAATTTCTGACAGTTTCTGTATATTTCAAAACATAAATGGTGCAATAACTGTACAAAAACTGTTTCACGTCAGAATTTCTACAAGGTTGAAGTAGACTTCGCATCGAGCAGCTTTTTGTTCTAATCTTCTGTTCCACCTTAAATGGAACAGCAGTTATAACTGCAGCACCATCTAAGGTGGAACTGGAATTCTGAATAAGAAGGCAACTTTAGCTTCACTGAATTTCTCAAGTCATTCGTCTTGTACATGCATCACAAATACTTGTGCCTCTGACTGTCAGACACTCCTGGAATTTGGAATACTGCACTTATCAGTACCAGCCAGTTCACAGCTTCTTTCGTGCATAAAGCCTTGAGACTTCGGCCTCATCTGATGCAGGTGAAATCTCAGGCCACATGAGAGAAAGCATGTTTGAGGCTAAGGCTAACCCTAAAAGACTGGCTATACCTTTATGTCTGCTGCAACAAAAACAAAGGTGGTTTGTACTGTTTGTATGTCGCATTATCCGCGCACGTTGGTGGCATACCAATATAATGGTTATGACTAAGCTCCACTGGAAGAGGAATTTCAACCAGTATACTGGATGAACAAGAAAATTCGCCAAGTACTAGCTGGTATGATAAGCAACTTTTGAAAGTTGCTAAATTGAAATACAATTCATACAACTCATAAAATTATTTGATAAGTGCCATAGTATACTCATTAAATATGAAGGGTATTTCACAGTAATACATTCAGTATGTCTGGGACAGTTTCCATTTCTGACAGAGGGGGTGACAAACCAAAGACCCTCTTAATTAACTTATTTAGCAGAACAAGCTCTTAAACAGTGTCTGTGGCTTTGAGTCACAATAGCTAAAAGAAAAATTATAATTTTGTCACCATTACTACTACATTACTACTTCTTTAAGTGTTTAATACAAGAGCACATCAGAGAGAAACTTTCGGTGCAGTAAAATTTGTAACCTCACAACTACTGAATGTTAATAATTAAGAATGAAGAAAACCAGGGCTGGAGTTTTGGATCAGAAAGCAGTGCACTGCACACTCATTCACACTTAATGGAAAGAAAAAATACAAATTCAACCAACTGATATCATTATCAGTAATTATTCATAAATTGATAAGCAGTCTGAGCTGTAATCAGTATTGGGTCAATACCCAGAAGAAAATTCTGGATTGAATATAGGAGAAAAATATATATATCCAAGCAAATTCTGTACCAAATCTCACCTGAAATATCACAGAATTGCTTGTAGCATAATACAACCTAAAGGAAAGTAAAGTTGGTCACGTGATAACAGCCACATGTAGCCCAACATTTACATAAGAAGAAGCTTTTCATTTTTTAGACAAGAATTACAGTTTTTTCATTTTACAGCTGTGGTTAAGTCACATCATGCTACTTAGTTGTAGGTACAGCAGAGTGTCTGAGCAGTCTGAGCATACTTTCAGATGAATATCTTGAATGAAGTGCTCCAATTAAAAACAGCTCATATTAAAGTTTATTTTTTTAATGAAAAAATACTGTCTAAAATCGGTATCAAACGATCCTTTTATATTGATATTGGAAAAGAAAAATCGCAATCGTGCCGTGTCTATCTTTATGAAAAAGAAATCTGCTGAAACCTGAGCACACTTTTTTCTTTCGAGCTTCCTTTATTACACCTCCTAATTAAAAAAAACTGGAGCAATATGTTGAAAAAAACTAATAAGTTCTTAACAACATCAGTGCTTTAGCGCAGAGCTTGGAGAATTGTCTTTTGGCTCTCCTCATTTCCCTTTTAATCTCCCACTCTCAGCAGCCGGTAAACCCTGACACTAATATTAAAATGACAAATGCACTCAGATCGCCTGTGTGACCTGAGAGCCCACTCGAACTCACAGCCGACGGCACTAACAATTCAGCTCCGAGCACAGGTAAAGCCCAGCCATGCGGCTCAATGTCGAACGCGCTCTGTGTGTCGAGTGGGAGACAATAGAGCTGTATAGAGAGGGTCTTACCTGCTCTTTAACTGAGGCCAGGATGGCAGAGGTGGTCTCTGTTTCTGCTTTGTCCCCGTTGGAGGCGTTCAGCCCTGGGCTCAGCATGGCAGGATTCTCAGCTTCGGCTGGCTGGTCTGGAACTGGCATGTCTCAACCTGGCAATGACAAACGGCTCCATCAGCTCCAAAAGATATATTATATCAAAAGAGTCTTAGAGCAATTATCCCAAATGCATTTCATCAGCCAAGATGTGTTTGGCGTCGGAAGTTAGATTTTTTAGCTTTGCACTGTAGCTGTGAGGCTAACAGCTAATATGTAATGGTTGTTTATAGCGACTTGTTAGCACTGAGTAAACTACACGCCAAAATCATTATAAATTTGCTTCAAACAGTGCTGAGGCATTGAGTCATTGAGTACATTTACATGCACTTAAAAATCCAATTGTTTTTGGATTCCGGCAGTTTTCTGATCTTTCAAGTGGGCACGTATACAGCGCACTCCGATTTCTTAGATCAAATTAAGGCCTAGAAAACTAATTTAAAAATCCGATAAAGAGAGCTCGATTTTAGCTCAGTGATCAGGTTCTTCACTGCATGTACACTCTTACTACTCTTTCTTTTGGTTTTCTCAGTCTGCGCATGTGTGAAAAGACCGCTGTCCCAGAAATGGCAAGCAGCGTTTAACACAGCACACACAAAATGGCAACAAAACACTTTTGGTTGCAACCAACTACATGCTTGCTGAAATGAAGAATTTAAAAATGTGGCTTACTGACAAAATCAGATTTTTTTGCAAGTGCATGTAAATGCACTCAATGATCACAAATCTTTGGCAGATGCTATCACAATGGCAACGTTTACAACGTTTGGTCATGCAAAATGGCGCTGAAAAACAATGCTTTATTCCAACAGCCACACCCTGCTTCACTTTTTCCCCCGTAATGGTGTGAACATAGCTGAGCTATGCTAGTTCCTATTGGCTACTTACTCACTTAGCAAGTAGTAGTAGTTGATTGTAGTAAACACAACCAACTACAGCATACAGTACAGCATACTGACATCATACACATTAGTGTTAAAAATTCAAAAATGTTTTTTCCCTCTGACTGTGGTAATGAGTGGGTAATATAACTACTATGAAATTGGCTAGTTAGTGGTTGTCATCCTCACTATAACAATATCTCTGGGTCATAATGTATGCTAGCTAGCCCCCTCAACATGTATTCATGCCACGCACCCCCAAATGACATTCGGACACTGTATGTTATTGTTATCTAAAACAGATTTGCGCGATTGTAAGTGGTGGGATAAAAGTTTTCATTACTCATTAGCAACATTGGCCTTTTAGCTCCAGGACGAAGCCACAGAAGCAAACCTCAGACACAAAGCATTGGGGAATTAGGGTAACTATCGTGTTAACTGGGTGACAGTGGGCGAAGTATAGTGTGCATGCAGGTCTTGATGACCACTGTATGGGGTGAGTATGACTATAGGTGTCTCACAGTAACTTGCCCTTTTCATAGGTTTAGAATGGAGAAATGAAGACATTAACACTGAAGGTGACAATCAAGCTCTACTCACAGTCACATGACCACTGAATTACGACTGCCTCATTTTCCAGATTGCATAGTGACGGTTGGCTAAATTTCTCCAAACTGTCATGGTTAAAAAAATCACATTAACTATGGATTTGCACGGAAAGCTTCTGTAATGCGGCTTATTTTATTCCAACTACCACCAACACACATTTGTTTAGAAGAGCATGAAAATAGGTCTCAAAAGAATTTGTGGCAACCATAATGAAACTGGGCCATTTCGCTACATGTCATCATAAGAAAAGCTATGGCAGCTACTGAGTTGGATACCCCAGCTCTCCAAGAACTAATTTCTACTCAGATAGCCACAATATGCAACAAAGCCTTTATCTAGGGGTCTCCATCCTTTTGTTGAATGACCTCTCACTCCACCCATCACAAACCTAATGCTAGGTGATACTAATAAACTTCAATTCATCACAGCATCATAGAATTAGATGTTAATAATAAAGTTAGAGAACCTAGGAAATGTCCTGCAAACCTGACATACAGTCTTAATATGAAGGTTCCTAAATTGTTCTTGGATTAGAAGTAGGGTTCTAGGGAAACAGAAAGCACAGTTCTGGGGAACACTTTTAAACGGTGTAGAATGGCGTACATCATGCGTAGGTTCTTCATGCTCGCCCATGTCATTTACAAAAATGGTCGAGCCACTGAAAGGTTCTTCAGGAAACCAAAATTGGTTCTCTTACAGCACTTCAAAGAACCCTCTTTGGCACTTTAGTCGTTTAGAGTGTAGCTTGTCTTGATTAGACTGCTTTGTCTTTGATGCTTTCTTTAACTATCTTTAAACAATTCTCCTAAAAGTGCACAAAGGGAACCTTATAAAGTGTTTTTCTATTGCCGTGGCAACAGAGACATTGCTGTATGGACCAGCATGTTATTGTGGACATAATGCGCGCCATCTGTCATTAGTAGGGCTGCAACAACTAATTGATTAAAGCGATAAAGTTGATAATAAAAAAAGTATTTGCCAATAAATCCTGTTATTGAACTAAAATACTAAAAAAATTTCCAAAGGAAAAAAAGCATGTCCTTGCTTTTCAGTTAGCTCTGTTTTAACTCAGTCAACAGAAAAAACAGCATACCACAGTTATGTCATGACAATGTTTTGTCTCTACAAAAACATTTTTAATTCACTTAAAGTTTAGGTTTTGGATGACGCTCTCTAGGGTGGAGATTTTTAAGCCTCTGTTTTCCATGTTTGAAAAAGTAAAATATAACTTTTTGAAAAATATCACTCACATGCTCAACGCTGTTTTGCCATGTCGAGCTTCAGGACTCACAAGTCTGACATGGTTAATGACTGGGCTGTTTCTGTGTGGTAATATCAGGTTTAATTATGGTGTTACCAACCACATGGAAATGAATTTTGCTTTGGTTTATTATTAGAGAGGAAATGATTTGGTTATTTATTGTTTTTGAACTTTTCACACTGATTAAAACAGCATTTTCATGAACATCTATTTTTACCTATTTGTATTTTTGCAAATATGATTTAGAAGATACAGAAGGTGTTCAATGTGTGAAAGAGCATTTGTATAAAAGGAGAATATGTATCTTTCATCATTTTAAATAAAACATTATGTATAATGTTAAATATCTGAAGGGGAACTTCACCAATTTTTAAAAAGTTCCACATAATTAAATGGCCCGGATGTAGACAAAGTCCTTCAGAGTGGTTTGGTGTGAAACACTCCGTTCTAGAGCAACTTACAGAGTTAGAATAGTTAACAGTGGTGGCGATAGAGACTGGACATATGAAGGGTTTAATGCCTCTAAAAGGTCCTTCACAGAAAGTTATTACACAAAGTGGTTATGACTATGCTGCCTGGTGCCTGAGACATTGTTTTACCATAGTTTTGGGATAAGACTTTGGTCTAAAATGCATTTTTTAAAACCCATTCATGGCGGAGAGGAACATGCAGGGTGTTGTAAGTCAATGTAGTACCTAAACGAAACTTTCCATTTACAACACCACATATATAAACATATACAGGCTCAGTGGCTGTTTTGGGAAAAAAAAAGAATAAAATTGCTGGTTGTTTTGGAAAAAAATATTTGGAAACAATTAATTAAATAGCTATATTTGCACTGCAAACATTGTGACCCCTCATTACTACCTCCACCACGACTGTAAAGAAATCTGAGTCGGCAAGTTTCTCTACTATGAGCCACTCTGATTCCCTTTGTTTACATCTCAACCACTGAATTATGCAGACATTTTGAAAAATCAGTGGAATTCCCCTTTAAGGTGTCTGCACCTTTTCTTTTCCCAATTAATCAAAAAGGACTGATTCATTGATCATGGAAATAACTGTCCGTTGCAGCCCCAGTGAGTATATTTACAGAGATGACAACAGCAGAGAATCAGTATGAATAAACAGACGAATACTGCAGTGACAAATGTTGTAACCACATAACAGCAATAATGCTAATGTTCACCATTTCAACGACAATGTAATGACCTACCAAGCCCTCTCTCTGCCTCTCTGATGACACGCTGTAGCCCACGCTGGCCTGATTACACCAGCGGCAGCAGATGAGCATGTGTCATGTGGAGGAAAACTCATGATTGATAAAACCTTCAGAGCATCTGTATCGATTAGAGACAAACTCCGAATAATAACCAAGGCATTAGCGGCGCTCCCTCGATGAAAACACACAGACCGTGACAAATGGTCATGCAGGACGTTGCCGTTGCATTCTGTCACACTTGTCGGCTGAAGCAGCCCAGCCTGCCAACTTAGTGCCTCCCTTAATAAAGATGACTTGCCTCATCTCGCAAGACGGCAAGCCTCCACCGAGCTTTCAGAAAATCTAATTATACCTACTTACAGTGCAATTTCCAGAGTGTTTATCTAGCTCCATCTTCCCTTCACACATTAGTATGCCTGGTTATATAAGTCACCCAGCAGCCTTTCAACACGTCTGAAGAAAAGGCGAATTTACCAGGATAATTCCACAGCATGAGCTCCTCAGCTCTAACATCAGCCCAGCCTCACTTTCCGAGAATTATGACAAATCATTTAAAGGGCCCATATGTCTGACAACTGAATTTTCCTCACTTTTTTTAAATAAGAGTTTGATGTAGTATGGCAACTTTGTGTGCATTCACTTTCCAATCCATACAGAAACTAAGCTACAAAAACAGTATGTTGTACATTCACTGATTTTGTGATGTCACAAAAACCAGCCCATCTCCATTTTTGTTGGTTTTTATTTTTTGACATGAATTGAATGACAACTGACTTTTACATTGTGTGAACATTTCATGATGCATAGACCTATCTATTCCAAGCTATTCATATATATATATATATATATATATATATATATATATATACACCTGGGAATATAACCTTTTTGCATACATTTACATGAAAAGCAAGGAATATTGGTAACACTTTCTATGAATGTCACCTTTGTAAGCATCTATAAACACATTTATAACATGTTATAATGTATTCATAAGGCATTATAAACATGGTTATAAATATTTATAAAAAAAAAGAATTACACTGAATTACACTTTATAGCCATGTTTATTATACATTATGA